TGTGGCAATGGAAACAGAAACAAAAGGAGGGAAGTATCTCCATTAAGCCCTGTGGTCTCTAAAGAAAAGATAAGGATGTCATGAGGCACACTCACACAAGGACACGTATAAAAGCCGACAATTCCTCTTTTGTTGCTGTCCCTGTCTTCTATCAGGGTAGTTCTCTCATAGCTGAGACAGTAGCTGGCCATCTCATAAGATTCATGCTAGGTTTCACAAGGGAGAGAACTGCTTATTCTTTAAGCACGTGCACAAAAAGAATTCTGAACGTAGCTTTCAAACCATAGCTAGCAGCTTTATGAGATCCCTCGGTACATGAAAGCTGCCAATGGGATTTTTAAATTGACAGGTGGTTTGAGCCATTGACCTCAGCTTTGATACCGACAGAGGCAAATTGCTATCAGCTCGTATTTTGCACTGTACAATGCTTAATGAAGGGCTCCTTCTATCTTGGGATTTCTTTTCCTTGAGAATGGTATAACATCTTTATAGCATGGTGATAAGTAATATACACTTGCTGTGATCATTCTGTCAGTGCTTCATCACGCTACTTTAAAATGATTTGTGGTTACATTTCATACTCTAGTACTTTTCATGCAGTATATGACTAAATCATAGTAGATTACTAAGTCAATATATTTATATTGACAGAACCTGAAGAAACATTGATTTTACACCTTCTCCTATTCATTTATTATGAACTCTCTACCCAGTTCCACTGAGTAGACAGATTCCAAGCGAGAGATTTTGCAGGGAACAATGGCAGTAATTATCAGAAAAGATGCTTATTGTTTTCATTAGTTATGGTGGCAATGACAAAGGGGAGTCCAAACAGAAGGCAGACCTACCCTGGCGGAAGAGAGCAGGATGACATAAAGGAAAGCGTAAGATGGTAAAATTGTCCATATTTCAATCTGTTTATTGCCATTAAATATGCTTTGATTACCATTAGTGCAAAGGTTCAAACTGGGGCTGACTAGTAATAAATAAATGTTAATTTAATGAGTAATAGAATGCTCCCCAAACTCTACAAATGAAGGCTGTAATTCCATTAAGAGGACTCTTGTGACATAAGCCACGTCAGCAAAGCTCAAGTGATTTGTCAATGTCATCAGAACCTGGAGGTGGAATTGCAACTTTAATTTATGGCTATTTCAGGGATTTATAACTGAAAATCTGTGGTACCCCTGAAATCCACAAGAGGTGCTGAGATGCTACAAAGTAAATCATTATTGCTTAAACTTCTAAAAGGTAGCAGTGTTGCTGGAAAGCAATAAAGGCAGAACTCTGTTAGTATTGTTTAGAGGTGTGTTTTTAGCATAAAGATACCTGCAGCGATTTTAAAACCCAGTTTCTCATTCATGCATTGCACCAGCCTGAATGGCAGATGACTTGATGCCTGCAGTAAGAGGCAAGAAATTCAGGTATATTCCTGGTGCCAACTTAATAAAAACACATTTCAACTGAAGAATGCAGTTTATTTCTTGTTGCTAGCTGTTGGAGTGAGCTAGTTCTCCTTGGAGGCCAGCGGCTTCATGTTCAGAAATGCTGAACTCATGAATCAACTCATAGAGTTATAAGTGCCCAGAAACTTTGTGTCTTTAAACTTTTTCATGACTTTAAGGTTTCAAGACCTTCAGTAGTTAGTTAGGTTCTAGAAAAAAAACAAAACAAAACAAAACAACAGATTTCTTATTTTCCACTTTCACATGGAGAAGCACATGAGGAGTGATTTGCCAAGTTGGCATAATGATCGAGAAGGAATTTCCTTACAATCTGTGAGTTATACCTCTGGAAGAGAGCGCCTCTGTGAAAGACCTTTCAAAATATGATAGAGTCTAACAAACCTGACCTAATGCAAAATAAATCCTGCTTGATGGTGTTAGTCCTCATTATATCCCACGTTCCCCTCTCAGCCAAGACATTTGCTCCAACAAAACCACTGTTCAGTCATGTTAATATACCAGTCCCAGAGAAGTATGGGAAGCTTTGCCATGGGACTCTTGTTCTCTGCTGTTTGAATAAAGGAACTACGTTTCCACAAGAGTATATTATAACACTGAGTGCATTTTTGAGTTAAGGGATGAATTTTGAAACGTTTTACTACAAGTACACTAAAATGAAAATATTATATGGACTGTTGCCTAGGTAGTAACAACTTGATAAAAACCTCGATCGAAGAAAGAAGCTAGAAAAACACTGAAGAGAATATAACCCTCCCATTATAAAAATTCTGTCAGGACAATAACACTGCATCTGGCTCAATGCTGGAATCAACAGAAGATACATATGTTGAGTAGTATTACCAACATTACTGTGTAGGGCTTTCTGGTAAGGAGATAATAAAGAACTTTTCCTGTTGCAAATATGTACTTTGAAAACACATGAAAAGTGTGATATAGATAAAATACAGACATTTCTCCCAAATGAAACACAGACCAAATCAAAGCCTATCCAGTCCAGTATCCTATTTCCTACATATGGGAAGGAAAATGAAATTACTCCATGAAGAAGGAGACCAAAGTATATAAGACTGGAATCAGCTGTGTATCTAGACTGTTATGACTCCCAAATCTCCCATCTGGACTAAACTTGGGAAAATCTGTTCTCTGAGGAGAATAAACGACCAATTTATTATTTATGGAGTGACAAAGGAGAACTAAGATATCTCAGAAGCTAATGGAAGAACCATGGATATTCTAAAGCTCACGTTGCTTTGTGAGTCATAGCAGAGAGAAATATGGTGCAACAAGAACCTAAGCTCACCTACTGATACTCAGGTAAGTCTCTAACCACAATGAGATTTCAGACAGATTTGCAACTGCTGAGTCAGCTTCCATTACAGAGGGAAAACCAGCTGTGGTCCTTTCCTTCCCTGGTATCGAGGGAGAACTGTACAATGCCTTGCTGCCACTGGACTGCATTGCACTTGTGCTCCATACAAAAAGCATCTGATGCCTCAGTGCTATTTGTGGGGGAACTGAGGAAAATAATATATGTCCATAAACAGTAACACAGGACTTTTCTTAAGATTACCCCAAATACACTGAAGCTTGCTGTATCCAGACACGTTATCTCAACAGACTTAGAACGACAGAGGAGAGTTGATCTTTCAGAAGACCTATTTTCTTTCCTTCCTTCCCAACAGAGTTTAGCATTTTCCACATCATTTTTCTCCTTGGAGAAAGGAATCTCACAGGTGATGCAAGACAAGCCTGACAGGATGTGCCTGAACTCCTTACACTGCTGGTGGAAGGTAGCAGCTTGGAATAGAGTCTGATGTCGTTTATATCAGCCTGTCCATTCAGGATGTTCTGAATAATTACTAAAGTCAACGTTTTAGCCCTTCTACAGAAAACCAGCAGCTGTGACAGTACCAGGGAAAAGGATACAATTCTAAGAGGAAGGGTTATGAGAGACCAGGCAGTTCTTAAAGCCTGATTATTTAGTTGCAATAGTCTTCCTGCAGCTAAACTAGGAAAGAATAAAAGCAGGATTATAAAAAAAAAGTCCTGATTTCAAAACGCCTAAAATCTGAAGAACTGAGAATAAATACAACCCGAGATAAACACGGCAGAGACATGAAAAGCTGCTTCCT